ATCTAGAATTGCATTGAAATAATTGCGATTGTAACATGTAAAATTTGATGCAATCTGATAATATTTTTTTAATCAATTATCAACATTTGAAAGTGTCTTATTTTTAATTACGATTATTGTTTGATAATATTTGTATTGAATCATGTAAAGGAAAGTAAAATATTTTTGATTAGATTCATCCAATTCACAATTTTGTTGACATTCGTTTTCATGGAGTGAACAAAATAATCTTCTTCTTGCTCCCCCGTTTTCGAACATTTTTTTATTCGAAATGATTAGATATTATTATTGTTTAAAGTAAATTAAAAAAAAAAAACTTATTTTTTTGCCCAAAAATTAATAACAACCTACTTGCTTAACTACAAGTAACTTGTCAAGTAGCTATAGCAACCTAATTTGGTACATTTTGCACATTTTAATACTTTTGTGCTAATTACTTGTCAAACTTCGCGTTTAAATGTAATAAAACAATTATATTATATTAATATTAATAACTTGACGCCGTTTGTATGAAGGTAATCCCAAAAATTGATTCATTTTTATTTTTATCAGACTGATACACATATTTACAATGAGCCTATCCTCTGCCAAATCGTACGACGATTACCAAGAATCATTGATTTGGCCCACTTAACAGAAAAAAAATGATCAATATCGTTATCGCAACCGATGGATTACATCAGTCAAAAAGGTATAAGCTAATGCTTTCAACAAATCATTAAAAAGATTACATGAAAAATTTAATAACGCCCACAACAATCCAGTTGGCAAAAGTAATGCGTAAAAAGCAGAACATTTTTGTATGGTGTAGACTACTTTCATAGCGTCTTGAAGATTCTCCATTGGTTAAGGCGTTAGCAAATAACAGTAAATTTAACTGTTTATTATTTATTGTAGAAAAAAATAATAATACAAGAAGAGTGAAAATAAACACGAAAAACTCACGAAATTCGTATAAATTGTTAATTTTATCAATTAGAAAACGCCGAACTGAATGTTATTTATATACACGAAGAGATAATTAATGAAATAGCATACCAACAAATTTTGTGTATCAAATCGACAATAACACCTCGAACGCACTACACGGAATGAGCTTAGTTATACTCAAGTATAAATATATATATATACTTAGATAAAAAACTTTTATCGATTCCAGTGAATTTTTCCTATTACTGATTCACGTTCTAAAATAACTCGAAGCTCACAGCCGACCACAACAATAAACAATATGTGTGAGTCATCACACTCGTTACGCCATCAATTGCATAAATTCCTGCAAAATTGCAATATTGAACTATATTTAAGTATTAACAAAATTTGATAATAACTGGACTCTGTGTAATGATAGCGGTCTAAATCACTTTCGTAGGATGCAAATGTATCTATTTTTAATTGCGTAAGAAATAAACTCGTCATGTAAAATGTTCGTTTGGTTGTCAACAATAGAACTTTACTGCTGCGCTTATCCTGATACTTTACAGTAAATATTGCATTTATTATAAACTATTGAACAAACAATGTCATAATATATTTCGCGATATTGTATCACGTTCAAATATTTGAAGATAATCTGTATACATTTGATTGCGCATACGGTTTAAACCAAGGTACAGTAAAACATTTTTTTTGTGCGGTTTCTTTTATCTACCGCACAAAAAAAATATTTCATAGATTCTTAGAAAGTGCATCGAAACTAAATAAATAATTAAATTACACATGGAAACAAATTGTAAAAACATTTAATTTCTCATTGTACATATGGAGAAATTTTCAAAAATGCACATACACAATTCACTGCTATTAAGTGTTAATCCAAAACACGCATCTTCTTGTAATCAATTGGTTCAAAATCGACATACAAATAGTATGATGACTACCGAAATCCCGGCTGGCTCAAAATCCTGACTAAATCGAAATCCCGACTATGTCAAAATCCCAACTACCATAATCCCGACTATATCGAAATCTCGACAGTGTCTTTTATTATTATAAATTTCTACAATAACATTTTTATGGTAGTCGGGATTTCGATATAGTCGGGATTACAAATGTCGGGATTTCAATAGACGGTCTTTCAAATGTCGGGCTTGCAGTATAGACCCAAATGTTTCATGTGATGAGCGACCAAATTTTTCGCGCCTATCAGTTTGGAAACCACTGGTTTAACTTCTGTTGCATATACGCATCTGCTTTGCTGATTACATGTAAAGTTGGTCATCAAATGTCGTAAATATTTACATTGTTCCCTAGGTGATTACAACAAAAATAAAAACAGCAGATTTCGAATGTTAAATCTTTAATTCCTCCACAGCTTTACTCAAATCCCTTTTAATCTCGTTCTTGTTACACGCGCAGTTACCGCAATCCGATTTATTCTTCGACTTGCAACAACCCGCCGCGCTTCTCTTAAGATCATCTTGCTCGATGAGCTTCTTCACCTTGCTGGACTTCCCAATACCCAATCTAGGCAAACCTCTGTTCAAACCTTCCAACAAGGTACAAGCTTTGCAGATCTTCTGCGACGAACCGTAGCCGCATCTCTCGCACGTCATCAAAGTCGGCATGTTTGCGGTTTCGTTAACGCACAAACTTTCTCCTTAAATTTTATATTAAAGTTTAATTATGAACATACTTTACGAGATTTATACCTGATTGTATGATGTTCATGATGACAGCTGGATCTACCTTTTCCAGATCTTTGAGTAGAACTCTGGCGTGTCCTCTGTAAGCGTTAGGCGCGAAGATACATTCTGTTGAGAAGTAGACCAATTTCCTGAAATAAGCGTACATAACGATCTCCTTTTCGTAGGTGTATTTCAAAGGTTTCACTCTCGGAATACCATCGCCGCTATCCTAAATAAACAACTTAATTAGTATCAATTAAATTTGATCAATCTATTAATAATTTACTGTTATGATTGAAGTGCATCTATTCAATCTAGCTAAATCCCCTCTAAGTATATTCATTAAAACTGTCTCAGCTATATCATCTGCATTATGTCCTGTTGCTAGGTAATTGACTTTCAGTAGCATAGCTCCCCTATCCAAGGCCTGCCTTCTAAACACGCCACAAAACGTGCAATTATTCTTCCTTCCAACCTGAAACAAACTCATTCATTGCAATCATTATTCACCAATACCGAAAATTTCTATTACCTCAGCAACGATTTCATCCATAGTCCAACCATACAAATCCTTATAAGACATTATTTTTAAAGGCATCTCATAGTCATCCCTGTTTTGCTTAACAGTTTCTAAACTATCATCCCTGTACCCAGTGATACCTTCATCTATTGATAAAAGAACCAGCTTCAAGTTGTATCCATATTTCTCATTTAGCAGCTTCAAAACATATGCAAGAACTGTTGAATCCTTTCCACCTGAAGCAGCCACAGCCACTGTGCTTCCTGGTGTGAACAGCTTGGCTCTGGTTATAGTAAAATGGATTTCATTTTCGAAAGCCTCAAAGAAGCACTCCTTGCAGAGGGCATCTCCAGTTTTCGGTCTCTAAAGTTAGTAAATTTCAATTTTGACAATTACTAATAAGTGTTAATTACCTTGAGAATGGCGTTTTTGCCACAATTCGCTGAACAGGCTGGCATGTTTTGTTGATATTGAATTATAGGTTATAGGAGTAGTTCAAACGAGTAGTTCAGAACTACTCCACTGCAAACCACGCTGAAATCCGAACTGCGCTTGATCACACTACGCAGCTGTACGTGACTTTGAGCTTGAAATTGCTAAGATAATGGTTTGTTATTCGTTCTAAAGTCTTCTGTTGGGTAGGTTCTCTTCATTTTTTTAAGAATCAACTTCATGTTGCTTCATTTTATTGTCAAATTTGCGCATGACGCACTGACTTTGACATCAAAAACGTAACCTGCATTGTTTGTTATTTTTCTGTGGGAAATAGTCCTTTTTTTATTATTTGTATTACGTATGTTTGTGAGAGATATCATTCTTCAGAATATGATCCTTGGGGTCTGCAAATGATTGCGTGTTCTATGGATATTTACATCTACTGTTAGTGACTTACCATAAGATGTCTTCAGTCTGAATGTTAATTGCAAGTATCGAGAAATTTTTTTTAATATGTCTACAATAAGTGTGCTGCAAGAAGGACCTGTTAATGCTCTGGCATTAAACAAGGACAACTCACAAGTTGCAATCGGTGGAAGAAATGGTTGAGTATTTCTATCATTGTTTTTTGTTGTTTGTTCTGATATCTAATCTATATTCTCTTTGTAGTTTTTAAAGTGTACTCAATCGAAGAAGATTGTTTCAAGGAGATCTGCAATTTGCGTGCTTCCAAGCATCTCAATTTGAGCTTCTCTTGCAATGATGTTGCTTGGAGCTCAACAGATGGTGAGTTTTACAAGAAAGTAATTGAGTTATAAACTTTGAAAAACACATGATTCAAATAACAGACATATATTAATTTACAACTGTTTTTTTTTGTTTGTTTAAATAATTTCTAACGTTCGTCGCTAAATCTCGTAATGAATTCTTAGATACAAATTTCAAAAAAAGAAAGTTATAACTATTATTTTCCAAACTTTTGTATTTACTCTATTAATTACTATTAACATTGCTACTCGATAATTGTGTACTTAACAACAACAAGTCAAAGTGGAAAATGTGTCTTTAAGCTTTAATAATTATTTCATTTTGTAGAAACAATTGAAAACTAATGTGCTTCAATCGGTATTGAAAACTGTTGCTAAGTTATTTAAGAAATTGAAATGCTTTCGATACTGTTGCAATGAACACAAAGCTTTTGTTGTAAATGTTTGACCTAATCAGTTTCTATTTACTTTTCGTAGATAACTACTTGGCGACAGCTGCTACGAATGGACACGTGTGTGTGTGGAATCTGACAAAGAGCGGCAAGGCCATGCAGGAACAAGTTTACCAGGAGCACAAGAGAACCGTGAACAAGGTGAACTTCCACTCTTCGGAGCCGTATCGATTGATATCCGGTTCACAGGATGGCACCATGAGGTACTTCGATATGCGATGCAAGGCCGCCGTAGCTACATTCCTCAGTAACACGGAAAGTGTACGGGACGTGCAGTTCAGTCCGCACATGCCGCATACATTCGCAGCAGTTTCCGAGAATGGTAGTGTTCAGCTGTGGGACGTTCGGCGCACGGAAAAGTGCATCCAGCAGTTCACAGCACATAGCGGACCGATCTTCGCATGCGATTGGCATCCTGAAGCCACTTGGTTGGCCACTGCCAGCAGAGACAAGACGATCAAAGTATGACCTATCCGCTAATCCCGATTCCTAATCTTCATCTTCTTCTATGTTTGTTTTTGTTGTGCTAGGTTTGGGACCTGACGACGAGTAAACCTACTCTGGATTATACCATACACACGATCGCGTCCATAGGACACGTGAAATGGAGACCTCAAAGGAAGTACCATATAGCCTCATGCGCTCTAGTCGTGGACTGCAGCATCAACATCTGGGATATTCGGAGACCCTTCATACCCTTCGCCGCCTTCAACGAACACAAAGACATTGCATCAGGCGTTGCGTGGAGAGGAGATTCACAAGTTTTCCTAAGCACAAGTAGAGTGAGTTTACAATATATTTCATTAATATACACAAATATTAAAAATAATTTCTGCAAATTTGAAAATCAAATATTGACTTAATTTCTCTTTAGGATTGTTCGCTCATTCAACATTCATTTAAAGATGCAAGTAGACCGGCCAGTAAAGCGAATATACAAGCTTTGGACATCAGTACAAAAGGAAACACCTTATTCGGAATGCGCGTTCCGGTAAGCACGAACACCACCAAACCTACAGGACTGATGAGGTAAAAAGTACCTAAAACCCAAAGCGAAAGAATTCTTCTAATTACTATTGCAATTTATAGAAAAAGTTCTACGAGCACTATCAGCGATCAGTTCCATCAATCTGCAAGCGTTCTGCATCAGTTCACGCATGTATCGGTTTGCAACGACCTAAGTTCTTTCGAATTTCTCGCGAAAAACTACATCCTCTATGGACGTTCTTTTCCGGAGATGTGCGAACATAACGCGGCTGTAGCCAAGGAATGTGGAAAAAGTAACGTGAGTTGTTAATCTTCGAAATGCATTCAATGTTATATACTAATCTCGTTATGACGTAGATTTCTACCATTTGGAAAATAGTAAACACTATGTACGGTGAATTGTACGTGAAGATTCAAGCTATGCACAATAACGGTGGACTTAATTTGATGAACAATGTGGATGCTTCTTCAACGGAGAAGAAAAATAATGGTTAGTTTTAGTGCAGTGGATCATGGCTTTATTTTTGTAATTCTTGGTTTAGATGTTGTAGGAGAGGCGGCCGCGGCGCAATTTAGTAGTGCAGATGATGATGTAGAGGGCGAGGATCAGGTGGATCACACTGCGGTTGCCAATGGGTACCATACGTACAATAAATACGGACACCCGAAAGGGGACTTCTCCTTCGGCGAAAATGAACTAGATTTGGAATTAGATGCACTTAGTATAGGTAGGATAGTCGTTATAATTGATATTTGCTACACTTCTTATGTGTAAGGTATTTGTTTATTTTCCATAACTACTAAAGTACAGCAAGTTGCAAATTGGAAACTTCACACCATAATTTTCATGTAACTTAAACGAAAGCATAATGAAGATGACACCGATATTTGCTTGATTATAAGAAATGTTATATAATGATTATTATTGTAGATTATAGAAATGGAATGAGGAACCAAAATCAGTTGCAGCAACAGGAGGATTGGACGTTGCCTAATGAGGCGTTCAACATTCGTCACGAGATTCGTGACAGATCGCCGCCTCCTGAGCAATTCCCAAATAATAACAGCCCCGACTTCAACGATGACTCTCACAGCAGCACCGTGGATGAACAACCCACGTGGCTAGTATCCGTATCGAAAATACCGCCCATGCCCATATGGGATCCAAGCGCCAGTTTGATCGAATCCTTAAAACATCACGCGGAGAAGGGCGATGTGCAGACTTCCGTTTCCGTTTTAATTGTTCTGGGAGAGCACCGAAAGAATCTGAAAACCCTAGACGAAAACACTGTAACGCATTGGCTGATGGGTTACATTCAAACACTGGAAAGGTTCCGATTGTGGAACGTCAAAGCTTTGGTAAGTATCTCAATTTGAGTAATTTATACAGTTCTCATTTATAATCATTGTAATTATTAATAAGGTGATTGAATTGGCATGGATTCCGAGCATCTCTCAGATGAACCAGCAGTCGACGAGGATCAATACGAACTGCAGTCAATGCTTGAAACCGCTGCAGAGAAGTGGATGGTTGTGCGATAGGTGCCACTCCACGGATGCCTCCAGGTGCAGTATATGTCACCAGGTTGTCAAAGGACTGTACGTTTGGTGTCAGGGCTGCTCGCATGGTGGTCATCTTATGCACATGCAAGAATGGTTCAGTAAGAATAAACAATGCCCTACAGGGTGTGGTCACCTGTGCGAATATCGTTGAATCATCCATAACGTTTAAACATAAATAAATATGTCTGTGATGTTTTTTGATATAATAAAAAAAAGTCATTATTATTTTAATTATATATTGGCATTATGTTATTTCGGAACAACAAGATTGCTTTAACCTAGTTGCTTAGCAACTTGACTTTTCTATTGAAATCATGATAAATATATGATTTGCTAAGTTCAAATAAATCCTTTACCATAGAAAAGGTAGTAAAACAAACTTCTATAACTAAAAACAATCTTAGTAGGTGACATAGTTGGTAAATGTTGATTAAAGTACATCTTTTACCAATGAACTAAATTTACATTTATAATTATAAAACAAGTATCAAGATTTAGAAGATGATTTTTTTTATACCGCCTGCTCCCTCTAGGACAGCGTTTTCCAAACTGTGAGGCGCGCCTTCCTGGGGAGGCGCGAATATTAGTAGTAGTGAGCAATTTTCCAAATATCTGCTAAAGTATAGATACATTCCTGTACTCTTATCTATATTGCTGTAATACGCGTTCAAAGTAGAAAAATTTAAATTAGAACTTTCGAAAAAGCAGTGTTTTCACATATCATTGATTTACTCGAAAACTATAATAGATAGAATGACTCCAATATATGCATATGAAAGCTGAATGTTTGGGGAATCAAGCAAGTATAGATACATTCCTGCGGGGAGGCGCCAAATGATTACATACTTTTGAGGCAGGCGTAGTAACATCAAATTTGGAAACCACTGCTCTAGGAGGAGCCTCTTCCATTTAGCTGTGTCCTTTCGACGCATTACGCCAATCGCAATTTAGAGGATGATAGGATAGAATAAATGATCAATAGGTTACACCTTGTATATACTAAATATACAGGTATACACCCTGTATATAATATAGTTTTTGACAGCCTGTCGTGACTGATTCTAACCTAAAATACTTCATAGCCATAGCCATGGCCATAGCATTCTCCATCCAATCAGCCTGATTGTCATTTGTTTATCGGTCGACCACACCGTTTCGGTTCCAACCTCAGAGTTCGTGCGGATACATTTTTTTTAGACTATTGTAAAATATGGAGAAATCGATGAAGACGATGACTCTGGAGGATAGCAGCAATGGTCCTGAGCTGACTGAGCCTCAGGCAAAGATCATGAAGGCAATTGAGGATAACAACTTCCCTGATTTCCAGCAGGTTCTGGAGGAGAACCCCAAACTGGATGTAAACTTTTTAAACCAAGACAAGATGACACCTCTGCAGCAGGCCTCCTACAGATGCAATGCTGACTTTGTGCGACTCCTGATCCAAAGGGTATTGACTTAAAAATAGCAAATCAATAATAAATAAAGTATTTATGATTAATTTTTTAGGGTGCAGATGTGAATAAATGTGAGCACGAACATGAATATTCTGCTTTGCATTTTGCAGCACTCTCTGGAAACATTGAGTTGGTCCATGTGCTTTTAGCAAATGGTGTGAAGGTGAATGCAACAAATTCTATAAACCGCACAGCAGCCCAAATGGCAGCATTTGTGGGCTACCATCACATTGTGACAACAATCAACAATTTTATTCCCAAATCTGATGTGGATTACTACACTGTTATCCATGGTCAAGAGAGTGCCCCACACTTAGATCCTGAGCTGGCTGAAAACTTTTACAATTTCTCTTTACTCTATAATCTGCACCCTGTGAATATTGCAATGTCTCTTCAATCTTATGAAGGACTCTTGGAGAATGTTGATGAAGTGAGGAAAGTTTTCCAAATGATGTCTGAAAGGGAAATGAAGAGGAAAGAGTCCAATGAAGTTCTATCATTTAAATTTTTCTACATTTCATACATCCTAGGCGAGATAAGCAAATTGATTAAAGCAAGGAAGGAGTCTAATGCTAGCGAGGAGAAGAATTTTATTGAACTTTTCTCTAAGAAACTGTTGAAGTGCAATAAGGAGGGTAACATGGAGTACATGGAGGCCTTCTTGAAAGAATCTATAAGGGAGTTTCCTTATATTGATAGCACACTTTTCAGGCAGATGGTTGCTTCGTTGGCCACCGACGGTGCTCCGTCTGCTCTTAGTGTGATCACCGCTGCCATTAATGGACAAAGGGCTTTTATGGATGGTTGCAAATGCGAAACCTGCGGCGAAGAGAGGCCTGCAAAGAAATGCGCGAAATGCAAAACCGTTTCTTACTGTGACAGAGAATGCCAGAGATTGCATTGGTTTATGCACAAGAAGACCTGCGCTCGTATGGGCGCTGAAACTATTACCAAAAACGTTGATTCCAGGGAAATCAGTTCCGATTTGCAGGGTCTTTTACAAGGAAATTGATGTTTATTCGTCAATTGTGTTCATCGTCGTATAACACTATTATATTTGTTTTCACATCTTTTTCTACACTATTCCTGGATACCATTGTTTCAATGCCTTTACAATGTTTCTTAGCATTTATAGACATGTTATGTGTTTGTGTACAATACTACTTTTTCTCATACAGAGAAGTTAAATAAACTGATACATTTTGTATTGCATCTATCAATAAACAATTTAAAACCAAAACAAGCAACAAAATAATGTTTTCCTAAATTTGTCATCATTATTAATAGAAAAAAATAAGTTCAGAAATTCAAATACACATAAAATTAACTTTACTAGTTAAATGTTAGTTGATATGAACTTCTCCCATTTGACAACCAATTAAATACTTGAAGAATCTAGTTTTCTGCATACACGTTACTTGGCAATTAACTAATGATCTTTATTAATTAAAAATCATCTCCATTCAAAATATGAGTTTATTAAAAGCAACAATTAACTAAGTCTAATGAATACGAATACATTTATAAGTACTTGTTAAATCATTTCATCTTATTGTATTCACGGTAGTTTCAGAATACTTTCAATTATGTAACTTTTTGTTATAATGGATATTAAAAATACGAAAGTTAAGCGACATGTGTTGATGATTGTACTTGAACGGATGATGACTATAAGAATTTACCAAAAAAAAAAAGACGACTTTGGAATAGTACCTAATGTCAAAACGTGTATAAGTACTTATTAAATAAGTCATGACAAGTACTCGCAAGTACCTTGTCCAATTTCAAGTAATTATAAAATACTTTAAGTTCTATTTTAACTTATTATATTCAAGCTAGTTTCAAAGTACTTTCAATTATTTAACTTTTTGTTACAAAGAGTATTAGAAATATAAAAGTTGAGCGACATGTGTTGAGGATAGTACTTGGTCGGATGATGACTATTAGGATTTACTTAAAAAAAATATGACTTTCCAATAGTATCTAATATCAAAACGTGTATAAGTACTTGTCAAATAAGTCATGACGAGTACTCACAAGTTACTTGTCCACGTAATTACCAAATACTTAAGGTCCTATTTCATCTTATAGTATTCAATATATTATCAGAATTATTTAACTTTTTGTAATAAAGGATATTAAAAATTCTAACGTTAAGTGACATGTGTTGAGGACATGTGATGAATATTAGAATTTACTAAAAAAGTTGATGACTTTACAATAGTACCTAATGTCAAAACGTGTATAAGTACTTGTTAACTAAGTCATGACGAGTACTCACAAGTTACTTGTCCACTTTCACGTAATTACCAAATACTTAAGGCCTATTTCATCTTATTGCGTTCAACATATTATCAGAATACTTTCAATTATTTAACTTTTTGTTATAAAGGATATTAGAATTTACTAAAAAAGTTGATGACTTTCCAAATGTCAAGAAAGTGTCAAAATGTGTATAAGTAATTGTTAAATTAGTTCTGACGAGTACTCACATGTTATATGTCAACGTTCACATAGTTATCAAGTACGTTAGGTCTAATTTCATCTTCACTCTGATACAAAAGCTAGATTTGCTGACTCAAATTTAGGTTTTCGTTAAAGATTTATAAGAATAAAATAATTTTAACAACTTCTTGGGAAAAATATATTATTCTATTACTTGGAATACTTAGGCTATAGTCCATTGTCACTTCTCCAAGAGGATAGGTATAGACACTACCGTCCGAAGACCTTATTTCCAAATACTTTCGTTTTCCAACACAAATTTTATTACCATTCCAAATCGTCAAGTACCCTAAATGATCTGTAGGTGCATAAAAACCCTCCCCGAACCGCAGTACTTTTCTTTTCTCAAGTGGTCAGAAGGATCTATCAATAAACAGTTTCCTGTAAACAGGAATTTATATTTACAGTAAATGAAATAAACAAAAACTAATGTTAAATTATTTTAACATTAAAAAAACAACAATGATTTGTAGATAAAACAATAATTTTGATATATTTAGAAATTTCGCACTTTCCTAATTGATTAAATTAATTTGTAAATTATTTGTATGATTTCGTTAGGATTAAGAACAATTAGCTTAGATTTGACCAGGTTAGGTTAGTTAAAGAATTAGGTAACAATTGTATCAAATAATTGATTATACATTATTATTTTCTAATTGTTCACATTTATAGATTTGACGTTAATCCTTCATATTTATTTCCCATTCTAGCAAATTTATACGTCAAGGATTAAGAACAATTAGGTTAGGTTTGACCAAGTTAGATTAGTTTAAGAATTACGTAACAATTGTATCAAATAATTAATTACAAATGTATTATTTTCTAATTGTTCAAATTTATAAATTTGACATTCAAGCATATTTGAAAGATTAAAATCTTACGTCAAATTATTGACGTGACGTTGACGTTACGTAAAGCATTGGTTGTTATGAAATTATTTGTCAATCTAAATTATCTTTTCAGCAATTCACAGACTACAAGAGCCGAAATAATTTAAACAACTTCTTTGGGGAAAATATCTTGTTCGTATACTTGGAATACTCAGCCATATAGTCCATTGTCACTTTTTCAAGAGGAAAAGTTTATATTCTACCATTCCAAATCGTCAACTACCCCCATGATCTCTAGGTGCATAAAAACCCTCCCCGAACCGCAGTACCTTTCTTTTCTCAAGTGGCCAGAAGAATCTTTAATGATCTATCAATAAACAGTTTCCCGTAAACAGGAATGTATAGTTACAGTAAATGAAATAAACACAAACTAATGTTAAATTATTTTAATATTAACAAAACCACAATGATTTCTAGACAAAACAATAATTCTTCATATATTTATAAATCTCGCGCTTTCCTGATATTTACTTTAATTACTAATAAAGCTTGATTCTTTTTGTGTATCTTTAGACAGAAATTTGTCCTTAATGACATCGTGTCTCCTAGAGGATTATAATTTCAGTTTTCGAAGATCATTTATGAAATTCGCATTGTGCGTTTCATGTGAATTTCAGCATATTTTGAATGCTGAACCGTCGAGACTTCTATTGTATCCATTCTCACTTGAGGATTATACTCCACTTGACTGGATACAAAGGACACAATACTCAGTCTGCACTTGGAAGGGCCGAAATTATACAGCTTAGGATAATTTCGGTACTTGTAACTCTCGAAAGCAATAAACGTAATTGTGAAAATACTTAGGTTTAATATCATCCAGAAGGTAACAAGAAAACTGTTTATCCCTCAAAGATATATGACATATTCAAGCAAATTTATACATCAATTTCAACTCTTCTTAATTAAATTATTTGTATTTCGCAAGTATTAAGGACAATTAAGTTAGATTTGACGAGGTTAAGTTAGTTTAGGAATTACGTAACAATTGTATCAAATAATTGATTCAAATGTATTATTTTCAAATTGTTCATATTTATAAAATTGACATTTTGAAAGATTAAACTCTTACGTCAAATTATTGACGTGACGTTGACGTTGCGTATAGCATTCGTTGTTATGAAATTATCTGTCATTGTCAATTATCTTTTCAGCAAGTCACAAACTACATTCAAAATTATGTTTAAATACGTTTGTAATAGAGACGGAATAAGGAAAAGTTAATTAAATTATTTGTATTTCGTAAGGATTAAGGACAATTAAGTTAGATTTGACCAGAATAAGTTAGTTTAGGAATTACGTAACAATTGTATCAAATAATTGATTACAAATGTATTATATTCTAATTGTTCATATTTATAAAATTGACATTTTGAAAGATTAAACTCTTACGTCAAATTATTGACGTTACGTTGACGTTGCGTATAGCATTCGTTGTTATGAAATTATCTGTCATTGTCAATTATCTTTTCAGCAAGTCACAAACTACATTCAAAATTATGTTTAAATACGTTTGTAATGAAGACGGAATTAGGAAACTGTTGGCGAAAACTCTTGTTCCGGTATTACGAAGGGTCGAAAAAGTGTGTTTTGTTAGGAGACGGTGCCGAGAGCGAATCAACATGTGGTCCGTAAACAGGGTGGATGTTGTTTTTATCGAAGAAGGATAGTTTCGACGGAGTGTGGAAACGAAAAGAGAAACAACAGAAGAAGAAGATGAAAAAAAAGATTCTGGCATGAATTATTTTCAGTGCAAACAAATAACGTGAAGTAGGTATCCGTCATCGGCGACCGGAGATCGCTGCCTGAAAATAAATAGAACGATCGCAACCATTATTTATTTATGTATCGTCGACGGTTTCTCAAAAAGCTTTTTGGCGAAAAGAGTAAACAGATGGATCTGATCTTCTACTCTCAATGAAAAATAAACGCTGCTAGAAGCAAAGGTGCAACTTTGTTCTTCGCAGAAGAAGAAAGAAAGAAATCGGGACAGCCGCTTATTAGGGACAAATCTTAAAGAACGGTAACAAAACCGAGGAAATAACAAAAATTTACTCCGAGTTTTGGGACAATATTCCGTTTAAACGGGACAATACTTCCAGCGCCACAGGAATTCACACATGAATATTTGGCGTATGACGTGGCTACTATGTCATCAATAAATATCTACAACTACAATCTCGCAAAAACTGAAGGCAAACCACTTTAGACAAACTCTTCGAGAATACATAATTTAAGTTTAAACAATACAATTTTTCTTTCATGTACAGTGGAATCTCGCTTAATGAACGAAATGAATTGTAAGAAACTTAACTCGCTTAACGAGCGACGTTTTGCATAACGAGTGACGATGAGAAGAGAAAACCCGGATTGTTCGCCTGCTATATAATTTTTAAAACTTGTGTACACACATTATGTGTATTTTTGAATATGTTTCACTATATAGTAAAAATCCGGAAATTGGAATTGGAAAGGATTAAACTCGTTTTCTATTATGTCGTGCGTATAGATTTTTTTAATAATAGTTTTGTGACACTAATTTTTGTGGAATTTCGGATAATTGGGACAAACTGTACAAGTCCAGATGTATCGCGATTAAGCGGAATCATCTGTCTTTGTACTAATGAAGGATTTAATTGTGTAACAATAATTTGATGATGATGATTATTGTTCTTGATTATTGCGGTGTTTCGTTTTGGATGCTGCATGGTTTTATCTGTTTGCACTGGAAATAGCTCTCCGTTCGGTTTTCGGGGTGGCCGTAGACGTGTGTATTAAGATAGGTCTGCTAATTATCCACTTTATCTGA